AGACTCCCCTAAACATCTATCCAGTTTACCAGATCTAGTTCAGCTAGTGTAACAAAGTTCCTTTTTGCCTTTCCTGTGTATTGCTTGCTGATTAATAACGGAGACAGCACTGTAAGACTACCTGTCTGTTGAAGGCTGTCATATTTCTTGATCATTCCTCAGTTCCTATTCCAGACAATGTCATGATAAATTCTGTAGTGATCAAATTTCTGTTCTTTCATTAGGGCTCCCTTATCTATATAAACATTTCATGCTCTATCTTTCACAATGCCCAGAGGTTTAGAGTAGTTTTATGTAATTTTTGCCACTTCTATCTTTGATCTTGATCCCAGCTGGTTCTTTTATAGTTAGCCAGAGGCTTGGGGGGTTTTTTGTTTTGCTTTGTTTTGTTTTGCTTTGTTTTTTAACTTCAAGTACAAGTTTCCTCTCATGCTTCCTGCACTGAATACTGACTGAAAGGAAGGGATAAGGAAACATGAGACAAGACTGCACTGATCTGTAAAACCTACTGCAGATAAGTAGGCTGCTGTATAGCTAATATTCTGCCAGGACAAGGCCAAAGAATACGAATAAACAAAACTCAGGGCCATCTGTCTGTTGGGCTCAATATTGTTTTGTTCATTCAGGTTCATATGACTTCGAATCACGTTTAAAAAAATCATGTACACATTTTGGTGAACACTTAACAGAGGCTCACTTGCATTTTAGGGAAGTTGTTTTCTCTTTAATAGACTATGTACTTTCTTTATAATTTTTCTGGCCTACCATACGAAAATATATACATATTCATCATTACCATGTATTTCCTTCTGTGAAAAAAGTCAGTGAAGTGTTCGTTATCATGGAATACTGACACATTTGATAAACTACAACTACATTTGATAAAGCAAAATTGTAACGTTTTACAATGACTTACAGTATTAGTATTTACACAAAGTAATAATAATAAAAAAATTACTTTTGAATGAGACTTACTAGAATTAAAACAGATCTTCACATATCATTTCCATACTTGTAGTCAGTCATTCTGTGCTCATAATTCTGAGAAATGTTTAATTCATTGGTGTTGGCAATATGAAATATAACCTTAGATTATTAACTTAACCTTCACCATTTTGATCATTTGAATTTCTACATTGTTACCTTATTAAACTGAATTGCAGTTAAATGCACCAAAGCTTAGAAATTATGCCAAGTGAAGTTTATTACAACATAGCAGTGCTCGCATCTTAGTATAATCATTTCATTGGGAATGATATCATTTTTATACCAAAGACTTTTTTTTTTTTTTGCTTCAAATTAAAGAATTCACAAAAGGAATTCCTTTCAGGAGAGCAATTTTTTTTTTTTTTTTGCTTCAGAATAGTTTGTTTTTCATTCCCCAATTTTAGTTTACGTTACTTAATATGGAAAATCCCATTTAAAAGTAGAATTATTTTAATTTTAAATGATATAAATGCTTTATTTCCAGAATGAAATGTCATCAAAATGGCCATGTTCCATGGAAAGTTTAGAACTCACCAAAATTACTTTTTCTCACAAACAGCACTTCAAAAAATATTTTGGGTCTACTTCAAGCTATCAAGTTTCTAGTACAAATAGTTGCAAAAAATGTACTTAATTTACACCTCAAGGTAAGTGAATTCTATTTTTGCTTAATGTTTAAGTTACAGAATGTTAAAAAAACATCTTTTTCTGAAGTGAACCTAAGAACACACACTGGTGAAATAATCTACTAAATTCAAACAAATATTTGGGGATTTTTCCCCCTGATATTTTCCAACTCTAATAGGCGGCAGCTTTATCATCACTACAAAATAAAATTCAGACTGTTACTGAGTAGTCCTGTCTTCTGAAAATAAAAGATGTTCTATTTTATTTTCCTATCATCTCCAGTAGTCTGAAAACTATTAACAAGTCCTAAGTTAACAAGAGAATTAAAGAAGCCAGTTTGCTTCTGCAAACTGCATTCAGACAACCTAAATTGTTCCTCAAGGCCACTATAAACCAGTTACTTCCCAACTCTTCCCCTTATCATTAATATTTCCTATATTAATTCTTTCTGTATTAATTCAGCTCTATTTCCCTTAGAAGCCTTCATTTTATTTATAACACCTCACACTGCCACTATTTACCAGGCTTTCTGCCAGGGGCACTAAGTTGGTAACAACAGATTTTGTCGTACACTTTTCTCAGTAGAGTATTAACCTGAGTTTTTCCTCCCCCTCCCTGAACACTACTTCTCATGAAATTTGTAGGAACTTAATTATCTCTGGGACTTCTATCCCTTTGTCAAACCTGGTTGAAATTGGCCAACAGGTTCAACATTTACTGAAGGGAGCTAGGGAGACCAGACAGAAAGCACAATCACGTAGATACTATTTCCTTAGGACACAAGGCTAAAATAATTGCGTAACAAATGGTTTGAAGGAAACTGCCTCATGAATGTACCAATTATATTACATACAAGTGATTTGTTTTGCATATATTATCATAAACACACTGTTTTACCCTTTGCAAAATCTCATTTAACCGCATTCATTTTAAAAGAATGATTTCTGCCTGAGCTTTCATTTTGTGGAGCACTGAAGGGAAAATGTTCTCTTATCTTCAAATATTATTAACTGGAAGTAAGTCTAACCTATGCTTTGAGGTTCTTATTGCAATTTAGATAGACAATTAGATACACAATACCAAAAACAAAGAGAACTTGCTAGTAGAGATTTTTCTCCTGGTGCCCCAGGTGACTGCAGTAGACTTCCTTCTGTGCTCAAATGATTAAAAACTATAATATCCTTCAAAGCCATTTTAGAAAGCTATTTATGATTGCAGTTTCAAGCAGTACAACTTTTTAAAAATTAGCTTATGAGATTTATATAGGATTGTCTTTTACATAGGAAGATAGGTGATTGTCATCATTTGTCATAGTTATTCTACTTTTCAATGTTGGAAACTTGCAGTAGAATAAACCAAAGCCTTTTGTCACGTAACAGTACCTGTGAAGAAGAATTTCATCCCTGGAGATTTTCAGTACCTTCAATAGCACTTCTATGATATGCCTCACTATAACTAAGGAAAAAGTTATATTTCTATGTGATCACAAATCTATCCTTCAGGATAGTGCTAAAAATGAAACGCTTTATGCTGTGAAGTTATGTTAAAAAACTTCTGTTTAGATGTTCAAAAGAGACAGAGAGAAGATGATAAAAGACTATTGTTACTTTCGTTGCATCCAGATGTTGTGAGCAACTATGCTCATAATGTTTTTACAAATAGACTTTCTACAAGGAGCTTTAATGATCTGGTCATGTGGGACCCATTAAAAAGTTTGTGATGTAGCCTGTGATGTTTTTTTGCAATAGCTTGCATGGTGTAAGATGGAAAATGGTACTGAACGTGAACAAGAACATCTCTGAGGGCTAAATGACATCCAGAATTAGAGATATATAGCTATATTAAACTTAATTCCAAAGTATCTTCAGTATCATGCATTTAGAATTATTTACTCAAATGTTGTTTTGTCTTCCATTTAGGAAACACTGCGAAGAAGGAGCCAGAGTGCAATAAAGAATAGAATAAAGAATATTGCACCCTCCTCCCCCAAAAACAGAAAGGAAAAATCATAAATGCAAATTCATTTGCTTTTCCCTAATTTGTAATTGCATTAGTCAATCACGGATAGATTTAATCGACTGAAACAAATACTGTCCAAGTTCTACAGGACCCACTCTTAGATTATTTCCTAAATTCTTACTCACATATGTGCATCAATATCTATGATTTTGGGATGTTTTGAGAGCATATAATCCTGCCAAAATATTTTCATAATCACTAGAAATCTACTTAATTTTCTTTTGTTAAATGCCTACTTCAGCACACAGTATGCTGCAGGCCACTAACTGTTCACCTTGGATAATTAGCTTTTGTTTAACAGTGTTGCTGTATGTTTTTGTTGGAGTTATATCTGGGCAGAAGACCTTGGTGTGATGTGAGGGGATGACCCTGTAGAATGCTCTTGCTTAACTACAGCCCCAGAGTCAGGATGTTAATTGGCTACAGAAAGTAATGTATACGGATTAATGGAAACAGTTTCCTCTGTTAACTGAAAAATTTATGTGGTAATTAAACTTAATTTAAGAGAATAAACATCAACAGTTTCAGTAAAATAACATTTTTTTCAAGAGACTAAACACATTAAGAAATACCTAAAGGTCAATTTATGCAAGAATAATGTGTTATCCTTACCAGTTTGTCACCAGGTTGTCACCAGACAACTCAGAACACATTTATCTTTTCCAAAAGAAAACTTCTGGGAGATACAATAACCAGTTCTTGGAAGATAAAGATGAAGACAACCAGGCCATACTAACAGTAGAAAATGTGCATTTTTTCAGAAATCCCAGATTTCTGTAAAGTTATAGAGAAACTGGCACGCCAAAAAATTAAGAAATTTTAGTTAATCAGAAAAATAGGCTGCTTTATTCTATGGAAATAGACGTCTCACTGAAGTCTCTCCTGTTTGAGAGCGCTGACTCCTTTTCTACATGCACAAAAAATTATTTCTGTGTCATCTTACTACAAATTCAAACCCAACCAACTGATTAAAATACAGAAAATACTGTCCTTACCTCATGGATCTTGGTCACCCAGTGTCACCATAATCTAGAGAAGGTTGTCCCACTCAGCCTCTGTCTGCCTACACAATTTCTGTCCTTCTTCAATTGTCAATACAGGAAATTGCATATTGAACAAAATGTTTGTTCATATATTTATTTTAATTACATTTTACTTTGGAATTTATATGATTGTTGATTAGAACTTGACTTTGAAGTATGGATAAATTATATCTCAATGTTTTTAAAGGATGCAATCAATGGGTAAACCAATATCCATACAAAATGTTTCTATATAGATTTCAGTTCGAAAAGTAATTTCAAGCAGGCTCCATTATTAGAGCACATGTTGTGTACTAAGGTCATTTCATTCAGCAGAATGCAGCGTTCCAAACTCTAAAATCAAAAGTCCTTTCATTATATTTCAATTAAACCATACAAAACAGTACCAGAGTGCATCTCATTTTTCACAAAAGAGTCAGTAGGGTAATCTGCACTAGCAAAATCCTCTACTTAGGTTGGATTTCAAAGTGACAAGGTACCACAGATAAAATTTATCTACCTTATACTGTACTGTGAACACTCTATGGCCTGCATAACATCTGACTGATGTTACTTAGCTACGAAAAATATCATTATTCGAGTTGGCATAAAAGCTTATAATGCACATTTTTTTATAGAATGTTTAAATATTAACTAGGCACTATATTTAAATTTTTTAAAGTCCCTTTTAACCCTTCTGTAAAAAACATTATTTGACTAACTGCTTGAAGACAAACAGAAAAACAGACATTAACGACACTGTTCGAGGTCTGTTCAAAACACAAGCATATGGAAGGTTATGAAATAAACAAGAACGTATTCACTTAACACATAAGTGAAAAGTTTATCTAAATGTCAGAGAAATTGTTGCAGATGTCAAACCAACTTTCTGATTAATTTCAAAGTGCTCCACAGGAGGATCCTTGACTTTCTTTTTCTGTTTGATCTTTGAAGCCATTTAGCCTCCCTTTCCTCCTCAATCCTCATTTCCTCCTCTTCTTTCTATTTTGAGGGGAATAATGAAACAGAAAAAATATCTTCCCTAAGGAAGACTTGAGTCAAATACTGGAAGAGGATTATAGATCTGGTCAAGAGGGAAATGTTGGGGAAGACTATCAGGCCTGTCCAAGTACCACATTAAAAGACTCTTTTACTCCACTTCGCTCTGCTAATCTTTTCAGCCATTGTTGATTTTATGCATAATTTCTACACCATGACAGGCTTCAAATTGAAACGCTAATATGAATTTGAGAAATTGATACAACGTTTTCATAATATCCAAATAGTGTTCTACAAATCATCAAAGAGTTTCTGGCAGATATTGAGGCAATTGCAATTTCCCTACCAGACTATAAGCAAATAGGATTGACAGTACTTTGATTTTCAGTGATAGTATCCTGTCCTTCAGGTAAGCAGGAAAACTACATTCTCACCTAACAACGGTGCACCAGTATCTGAAGCAAATCTGAATTTGCTTATACAGATTTAATTCTTAATTTGACCATATGCTTTACTAAGTTTGAAGGAAAAGGAAAAATTCTCTAGTGATTTGGTCCTTTTCACTTCAGTCTATTCCAGTAATCTTAAATTGCAACTGTAAAATACAACCTTTTTTTATTACTTAAACATTAATAAGCCCAAAGGGTAATTTTTTCATAAAGGCATAATTTATCTATTTTAAAAGCAACAAAATCAAACATCAAAACTCTGGTAAGCTGATAAAACAGTGGCCAAAAATAAAACATTTCCATTTATTACTATGAAATCTTCAAAAAGAAAGTCATGGGAATTTTCAGAATGACACGCATATGTTATTAATCTTTTCATCTTCTCATCCAACCCTGTCAGCCTATGTTAAAGAATAGTTTGCATAAGAAGAACTTTCTTTGCTAAAGAAGCTTGCTCTGTTTTGCTTTTCTCTAGGCGTTCACTTTGGCCACTGTCAGAGGTAGGATGCTCAGCTGGATGCACCTTTGTTTGATCCAACTGCTTCTCATTCAGAACCAATGGTGAGCCATTTGTTTCTTTTAATAATAGATATGTTAATGGGACAGTAAACTTCATTCAAATAACAGATAATATTTCTCTAATATTCCTCTACCAGCATATGGAAATAATCCAGAGGCTAAGAAGGCAGTTCATAATATTTCTAGATGCTCTATTCTCCTTATCCTTTCTTCTGTTCTGCTCCCTGTATCCAAGGTAACATCCAAAGGGATGTAAAGACGACCAACAGGTCCTATTCCCAGAAACTTTCCTTCTTGCTGCCCCACAGAAAAGCTGCGGACCTACTGTCCGGAAGTTCACGGTACAGCGGCTACGCTGTTCAGCATGACACACAGACACTTCTTTGAGGATCTAAGGAAGCTGACAAGCTCCACAGTCTCATTTAGGACCATTCCAGCTCCAATAACTGCCCAGAGGTGGTAGCGAATAATGATGGTTCTTACAAAGTTACTTTCTATGTGCCATCCTTGCGCTATGCTTCAGAGCTGCAGCAGAGTGTCACCAGCTAAATACTCAAAATCAGAAAACATAATGTTTCTTTATCCTAACACATTAACTGGTATTTTCAGTTTACTGGTATAAATCCCTTTATTTCCAATTAAAGTAAATGTTGGCAAAAATAAATCTCTCAAAGGAAGTGAACTATACATCCTTAATTTAATGGTGTTTTAAGTGCTTGCGTGCTAGACATGGAAGGTCAACATCTTTAACATTACCCTACATGCACAATAGAAATAAATAACGTTCTTAAATCTAGCTAGTTTCAATTCCTAGAAATTCTTGTATCTAATTTTAGAATATTTTATCATCTAATAGTGAAATTTTATGGAGTACAAAAGCATTATCTTTAATCATCGTGTCAGATACACTTTAGAGATGTTCATTGCAAGACCATAAATCTATAAATTTTTGTTCTTACCCAAGAATTTTTCTAGTGTGTGCAATTCCTTACAGCTAAGAAAATGTAATTTAGTTTTAAAGAGAAATAGCATTGATCAGACTACCGTCAAACAGCACTTATGACTATTTTAGGAAGCAACCTTTGGTCGAATTTATTGGGAAGGTATTGGGTTTTCTGCTTATAAATCTTACCTTTCTAACACATTTATTTGCTGATTGAAATTATGCAAGAAAAAAGGGTCCATACTAGTAATTCCACACCAATATGTCCAAAATATCTAAAAAAATAAAAATACAGGGATATATATGGTAAATTTTAAGTAGGCTGATTTCAATTTAGTTAGCTTTCAATGACAATAAACATTTATTTAAGATATCTCATACTCCCTTTCTACATTACTGCTATTGTAGGTCCCATTCAGCCTTTGAGTCGCACATAACTTCTTTTGATTACAAAAACCCCTTGTACAGAATCTGATTTTCAGCAAGAGCAGAGATGGGGAAATGCATTACTCTATTCATATTGCTAGGCAAACACATACATCCCCATACAATTTTGTAGAAACTACAACTGCTGTCTTCAGTGTCTGGATTTCTACTGCTCATCACCAAGTGAAAAGTAGTTGGGCAAAACATTCACAGATTCGTTCCCTTCCCTAGAAGGCATCTTTTATGCAGAACTTAAAATGCCCATGCCAACAAACCTGTAAGCTGTTCCATTACTTAATAAACTATTCCAACATTATCATAATTACCGTCAACTGGCAGGCATACAGTTCCTGCCTTTGAAATTAGGAAGTATTTGAAAACAAAAACAAAAAGAAGAAAGAAATGCCCAAAACTCTGCTGAAGGAGTAAATAGCATTTTACCATTAACCTCACCAGCAACTGAGACTGCAGAAGGTGTACAGTTCTTGTCTTGTCTTTAAAAAGGAAAAAAGTGAGAAACCCCCCAAACTCTGCGAAAGGAATAAATAGCATTTTACCATTCTTTTACCCACAAAATGTCATTTTTCATCCAAGAGAATAGTCGAACTGAAAAAACTTAGATAATATTGTCAGTCTTAGCTAGCTGTGTGTGTGTGTGTGTGTGTGTGTGAAGAAAATATAAATAAAAGGTATGGGTACTTGGTGCTAATTAAAGCGCTCTTGTTTGTCTGTCACAGGTAACATTAAGACTATTTCTCTAAAACACCTCAGTTTATGAGCCCCAGATTTATTGCTTCTACTTCCCACCTGCACCCAGTTTTAAGCCATAGTATCTCTTACAGGGTAATCACACAGATACTGTGTCAGATAACGTTATTAGAATGAAAGAATTCTGGCACAGATCAAACGCGACGAAGACAGCGATAGGCTCTTCAGGAGAGAGTGGGTTGGAAGGTGAGGAGGAGGGGTTGCGCTCTGTGCAGCCCAGTAGCTGGAATGCACAGTTTCATTTTGGGGCAGCTGAGGGGCCAGGTAACAGCTTGTGAGAAAGATCAAGGACCAACACAGTGTTAGTGTTGTTGACCAGCTGATCAAGAAGAGGAAGCAGATAAAGCCTTCTTTAGAAATTAGTCAGCCTTACCTCTATCCTCACAAAGATTATGCAGCCAATCCTCCTAGAAGATGAAAGGCTCTGTGGGCGAGAAGAGAGTAGTTTATGTTGTATAATTTGATTTTAGCAAGGCTTTTAACTTTCTCACACAGTATCTTTACAGCCAAATTGGTAAGATACAGACTGGGTAAGTGGATAACAGGGTGGATAGAAAATTGCCTGGACTGTGAGTTAGGCTTGAAAGGTTATGATCAGTAGTACAATGTCCAGCTGGTGGTCAGTTACTAGTGTCATCCCTCAGGGATCAATACTGGGGCCAGCAGAGGTAAATGGCTTAATTTAAAAACCTGGAATATGGGACAGATTGTACACTCTGCAAAGTTGCAGATAATACCAAACTGAGGTATATGCTGTAAGGGCTGCTATTCAGATGAACCTTGACAGGCTGGAGAGATGCACTGACAGAAATCCCTTGAAGCCCAACAAAAGCAAGTGTGCAGTGCTGCACTGGGAACAGAATAACTCTACACAGCAGCACTAGCTGGGGCCAGAGGGTTAGAAAGCAGCTTTACAGGAAAGTACTTTGGGGTCCCGGCAGAGAAGTCAAACATGAGACAGCAACATGCCTTTGTGGAAGAGACAGCCGAACGCATCCTGGGCTGTCTTAGCGTAGCCAGCAAGTTGAGGAAGTGTATGAAGTACATGCAGCCTTCAGATGAGAAGGTGAAGAGGAGATCTTACTGCTATCTACACCTACACAGTGGGAGGGTAGAGAGAAGACAAAACCAGACGCTTCTTGGAGGTGCGTGGTGACAGGACGAGAGGCAACAAACAAAAGCTGCAACACTGAAAATTCCAAGGAGGTGTAAGGAAAGCTGTTCTCACCATGACGGAGGTCAAAGACTGGAACCAGGCCCAGGGAGTCTGAGGGGGCTCTCTCATTACCCATACATACGTGCATGAGGAACTAGCAGCCACGAGCAGAATGCCTTCAGGAAACCTCAGTGACAGAGGTAAAGGTGTTGTAAGGGGGTGTGGAGGTGAAAGGGAGGCAGAGAACAGTGTACGTCACCAGTTCACACCAAGTACTGGAAGAGAATCCTAGAAAAGGCAAGACTGCAATTTCACAAAATATTTGATAGAAAGTATTCCCATAAGTGCAGAGAAAAGCAATGTAGAAAATTAACACCAATCCCTCCATTCTAGGTTCATAACATCCAAGTAACATCGGATCATTCAAGTACCCATTTAACTACCTGGCATACAAATGCACATGAAGACTCTGGAACATGAATCTTCTCGTAGAAGGGGGTGCTGCTGAACTCCAAACATACTATTGGCAATAAGGCAGAAAAAAAAAAGACAAAGAAACCCCTAAGAGATTAGTATGCTTTGACCTTTCATTGTTTTTCAGGTACATGAACAAGAAAGTAGCCTGAGAGTTAAGGAACAAAGCCAAATCCAAAACTACTGAATAATGCAAAAAAGCCTGGTCAAAAATTGGTCAGTATTTAAAAATAAAGAGTGAAGTTGTACAGTTTATGCCACAGGGGTTCTTTTGCTAGTCAGTTTAGTGCACAAAATGCTTTCAGTAAGTTGAAATTTTTGAGTGATATTTGCTTGCTCCTGTATGCCCAGATATTACAGGGCTTCCATGAAAAATTATTTCTGATTTTTAAAATATACTAATTATTCAAAGGTGTTGAACACAAAACAGTATTATGGGAGAAATTAGGTATTTAGGGCATGAACCATAAAAATAACTATTGAAATTCCAAATTACATATTTATACAGTAAGAGCACATCAGACTGAATATAATTGCAAATTAGTTAGACATTGCAGGATAGATAACTGCAGGAAAGATAACTGCAGGAACATATTTATACCTTATAATTTAGAAGTAAATTATAACTTTAAAGAACTGTACTGTTTTAACTGTAATGTTTTAAGAACATTACTGGTTTATGTACAGTCTGGCTACATCCTTAATTTCATCAGAGTATCTGCATTTTTAGCATTCACTCCTGTGGCACAGCTTTTTATTTGGTATCGCTATGGAACGGTATAAATTGTGATCGTTAAAATTTGGGGTGCTTGATGTTAAAAAAATTTGGCAGATCGCATTCATTGCAGCAGTAACAAAGAAGGATAATAAATAAGGAGTAAAGAACATACTTATGCCTGAAAACGAGTGAATGGAGGACAAAAAGCAATGGAGAAAATAGTAGATAGATGAGACACTTCATCTTTATATAGAGCTAGTAAATGGGGAGGAAAAAAAAAAAGGTAAATTAATGAGGAAAAACCCCCACAAATCGGGGCCAAGTAGAGCCAACAGACAAAAAAGATGCTACTATTAGAGGTGTATTATAAGGGATTTTTTTCCCATAACTCAAGGAAGTTTAATAGCTAACAGAGTGGAAGCATTTCAGAAAGATGAGCTTGGGACTATTGTCAGCAGCGTGATTAAAAGCTTCATGTCCACATAGTAGCCAGCATATTTTACCTAACAGGGTTCAGCATCTACTTCTATTACAGTGAAAGTCAGTCTTCCACAGAT